TTTTTTTTTTTTTTTTTTTTTTTTTTTTTTTTTTTTTTTTTTTTTTTTCTCTTTTCTCTAAGTATCTCGGTAACTGGAGAAAACATTGTTTTTTTTATTTTTTCGATTAGTACAGCGTGTCCTGTATCGTATTATTTTCAAATTTGACGTACTATTGATTCATGGCACGAGATGTTGCTAATAAACGAAAGCACCAAGTGGGAATGCAATCAGTTATTATTTTAACTGGGTACATACAAGAAAAACCAGTAGCCCCAATTGAACGTTTTAAATTCAAGGGAGTTGATTTAACTGTACCTCAAACGGTTTTTTTCATCTTCAGGACAACGACGTGAACGACCTGTTCTACGAAGGCTGCGGCTCCGTGAAAAACTGCTTCGGAACGCCCGACCTCTGTGTGGACCAGAAAAACTGCATGGCCGCGGTCTCAGTTCTGGTCCAGGGCGAGCGGTACGTCTTCGAGATGCAGTCCCGCAACTCCAAGTACGTAGCAGTCGGGCTGTCCGAGGACAACAAGATGGTAAGACTCAATCGTTTCTCGTGGCAAACATTAAATCCCCCATTGGTTGTTACCGAAACGATTATCACGCACGCAGGGAGACGACGCCGTCGCCGAGTGCGTCAACGAGGACGAGAGGGTGGTCCTGCACACATCCTGGAACAAAGGCAAGCATAACACAAGGCTCTCGAAGGTAAGCGCTGAATACATACACAGAGCCAGAAGATGAGACTCACACGCCTCTCGTTCTTTTCTTCGCAGAACGAAACTTCGGCGGCAGTCGAGCTGGTATCGAGCTCCTTCCAGGACGGCGTGATCAGCTGCAAGTTCTTGCGCAACAAATTGACGACGGTGCAGGGCCAGCGGTTCGACCTTGTGGCCAAGCCTTACCACTTACTCATCGCCATCGGAAGCAGTTTGAAACGTACGCCCTTCTTTTGCTATTCTTCTTTTTTTTTTTTTTTTTTTTGTGCTCGGGGAAAAGTGTGTGTCAGGAATCGCGTGTGCCAATGTAAAAATAGACTACTCGAGATGTGTACAGGCTAACCAAGCTTTTGTCCAATTTTTGATAAGCAATAACCCAACGTCAATGTCTTCGACAGCAAACAGCGTGGGCTACCACGACCTGGCAATGGCGAGCTCGGCCGAGCCGAGGCTCCTGTCGGACGTCGGCACCCTCAAGTCGGCCAGTGAGCTCCTGACGCGCCTCCACGGCGCCCTGATGATAGTCTCCTGGCTGGGCACTGCCTCCGTTGGCATGCTCCTCGCCCGTTACTACCGGCAAACCTGGCTCGCGTCCCAGCTGTGCGGCAAGGACCATTGGTTCGCGGTACGACTATTGCTTCTCATGCCCCTGCCTTTCGAGTCACGATTTCGTTTGTTACTCAGGAGGGTTGTCCGAGTTCCAGGGGTGTGCTTTCTTTGTACCGTGTTGTTTATAAGTATACCAATTTTAATCAATTCAAGTGGCATGCAATTTAAAAAAAAAAAATTTTTTTTTTTCAACTTCTTGCCTGTGGTCGTAATTTGTACGAAAAAATAATAAAAAACGTATTTTTTGATGAGCCATAGTTTTGTAAAATACCACAGGATATGGCATTCAGCAAAAAAACAACCGCAACATAATTTGCCATCTGGGGGAGTACGTGAAAAATGAGATTTTGCGCACCGTCTGACCAAACTCGGACTGTTCTACTGATTTGCCATCCAACCACACAAGAATGTTTAACCAACAGCAGCAGTAGTAGTAGTAGTAATTTTAATAATTTGTAAAATTTATGCGCAGTGGCACCGGGTGTTCATGTTCCTGACGTGGGCGATGTCGATAACCGCGGCAGTCCTGATATTCGTCGAGGTGGGCGGCCTCAGTACGGAAGTGTACCATCGATCCTTCGGCATAGCGACGAACATCCTCTGCTTCGTTCAGCCGTTCATGGCGGTGATGCGGCCCCACCCGGGCGCCCCGAGGCGGGCCCTCTTTAATTGGGTCCACTGGCTCGTCGGCAACGCCGCCCACGTATGCGCTAGTGAGTTACGCACACACGCGCCTACCTTGTAATTGCACTGGAATGCGAGAGTGTACTTGTGGGCTTCTTCAAACGAAAGAGGGGGGGGGGATGGACGAGGCGAAGCCCGAAGCGTCGAGGGAAAGTTTCAGGCCGAGAGCTATCCATCCCGACCACCTCTGCTTAATTGAGGACGCGCTGGGGTATCCTAGTTTGAGTTTGACTTTGATGCTTTGGGGCGGAGGGGAAAAACTGCCTTTGGCCTCGTTTTTGCTACCCACGCGTGTAGCAGCGTCAAAAGGCGTTTTCATAGATTACTTTGTCGCACTTTTAGTGGGTCCATTGCGGAATGTCAATCGGATTCCGGGGTTTTTTGGTTCCAAGCCCTTTCGCTTGTCATGCACTCGGGAATCGCTAAGATATAGCTATTTCGAAAAATCCTCACCTCTTTGCCTTTGGAAGCGCGCCAAAACTTAAAAATTAACTCGGCGATGCTTCAAACGGCGCGGAAAATCAAGTTTCCCTCAGGGAAAAGATCCGCAAACGCAGTTAGCGGGTCGATTAAAAGCGCCTCGGCAAGTTGATTGTTGCGAAAGGGGCAAAGGTAAGTCCATCCGAGTGGAGGCTGAGCGCACCACGTGTATACATATACATGCATATAGGCTCTCCTCGAGCTCTCGAGTTTCGGCTTACCAGCTAAATTGATAATCGGATGATTCGGGAAAAGGGGGCGGAGTTTCAACTTCGTTAATATCCAATCCAGATTTAAACACGGGACGACTTTGCTCGTTAGAGTTCGAGACGCGCGTGGCTTTGTATCAAAATAACGAAGGGCCGAGGCGCGTCGCTGGAAATGTCTGATAATTGAAACGCGTGGCAAACTCGCGAGTGGCGTAACGAAGTTTCATCTAAGGCCGCTTTGGGACGACTTCAAGTTTGTCAAAGCTGCGGCTGTCAAAAACTACCACCCCGACAAGTATCCTAAAGCTTGTTTAACCAAGAGTGAAATAGCAGGAAAATTAATATGTACGGGCTGGATGAAAAAAAAAAAAAAACTAAAATTTTCTCATTGGCTTTTTTTTTTTTTTCTTGCAGTTATCGCCATATTCTTCGCCGTGCGCCTGACGAAGGCAAAACTGCCGGACTGGGTCGACTGGGTACTCGTTGGCTACGTCGCCTTCCACGTCCTGACTCATCTGTTCCTCACGGTAAGCTAATACGGCCCAGCCCTTAATTTTCGCTGCTACGCCCGTGTGCCATACCTAAAACAACTAGTATTACGCAACCAATTACTTAACTACATACGTTTACCAAAGAACTGCACTCGCGTTGGATAAATTCAGTATTTAATTTTGGTTTTACGATTAAATACATCAGAGTGGGTGCGCGTCGAAACATCGACAAATTAAATTACTCGTAGTCTCTCTATTTGCATCGCGCGCGCAGACGCTTCATCGTTACTAAAGCGAAACCCCAGGCTGGTGATAAAATTTCGTTAAATCTGATGATAACGCGATAAAACGGGTTTGTTACAATCGGTCACTTGGTTAAAAATACACTCGACCAATTTCGTAACGCGGGGTACTGAAAGCAAAAACTATATCACCAAACGCGAAAATCCTTTGGCGTGCAAGTGTCAAGTTAACGTCAGACCAGCTCTGATGTCATAACGAAATGGCAGCCACAGCGACGACGGGTTCTCGGTGAAATTTCCTGCTCGTGGCGTGGCTAAAGCTGTACAGCCCCGTAAGACGCGTGAACGAGTGAAAGACGCGTTTTACGCGAGAAAGCGCAGCAGAGCAGAGAGCTTCAGTCGGTAGAGCGTAAGATTTGCATTTTTTTGCAGTTCGCCGGCTGCGCATCGGACAGACAGGGCAGTCAGAGGGTGAATTCCTTCCCCATGAAGGACGTGCATAGCCGGAATTCCATGTCGCACGTGGATGCCAGGCGAGACGCACCGGTAAGTTGGTGGAAATTACGCCCCCATACCATATATCCTTACCCCTTTTTTTTTTCATTAACATTTTTCCAGCGCAACTCTATTTGATTAACTGAAAAAAACAGGCCACTCGGAAAAACGTGCTTTTCCCACTGAAGATTACTTTTTTCCGAGTGAAAATTATTTTTCCTTCTCCCTGTAGGATCTCGCACTATTTATTCGTGATGAAAAATTATACGGGCAGAAAAAAAATGGGAATTGATTTTTGCGCTAGTTGAAAATCCTTTTTTTCTCTCACGTCAATTATCCCCAACTTCATTATAACGTTGTTTCTGAATGAAAGGCAATTATCGGTTAAATAACGAGATTGTAAATACTTTGGAAATCAATTTATAACAAATTTTACGAGAAACGTGTAATTTAGTACGTATGAAACAAAGATATGGCGCATAACATTATCACGTATGTAAACTGTACTTTTTGTGAAGGTCGTGAAAAGAAGAGATGATACTTTGGGGACGTGCTTTACTTCTCCATAATCGTATATTATCATAGAAAATGCCCAAATTTTCATGCATTTTAAAAAACTTACAATAAAAAAAAATCTAATCTCTTGACAAACGCAATAATCTTCGATCAGTAGTAATAGTCAAGCTTTGGTCAGACATGGTACAAAAGGTTCATGCTGTTCTTTAAAAATACTGTAAATTCATAAACTGCTAGTTTTAATTTTGCAAGTAGATTTATACTCTGCAGAGTATTTAATTAAAAATGTGCTGCCTCACAAAGGAAGGTGACAGTAAATCTCGAAACATTAACGATAAAACTGAGGCAGCGACGCGCTGTGTACGCGGCGACTCTGTAATTACGTCAACTCCTCTTTTTCCCCTTCAACGCAAAAGTTCGTCTCGCCTACTCGCGCAAATAACTTTCATATTCAAACAGCATTAACAGTTTTCATGGGCTCCCCATTACCTTTCTCTCTCACCTCTATATAGCCCACGAAGCACCTAAATACATAAAAAAAAAAAACACTGAAATAAGCTGGATGCTTTTTAAATTCAAATCCCTCCGTCTGAGAAAAAAGACGAATGAGCGTAGAAAAAGCAAATCCTTTCGACCGGGTTCAGCTGGTAATTAGCGGCCAATCGATAGCAACGCCAGTCTCGATTTCCGCTTTACATAACACCTCATTAGGAGGTCCCTGCAATTAAAAGAAAAAATGTTTTTTTTGTTAATTCCTCAAAATTTATAGGGCTCGGCTCTCCGGAAGCTAGTCTTCGGCATCTACTTCCTGGTGATGGCCGCGGTGGCAACGGCCCTCGTACTCATCGTCGTGTTCGCCCCCATAGGCGACTCCTGGCGCGACCTCGTCAACTTGGTCAAGAACAACTAGGAGGTTTCATCGCGCGCAACGGGGTATACAAATCTCACATCGATCCACAGCTTCGAGGTGTACGTCAAAGCGTGTGCGTGTCATAATGTACCTCGAGCTCGTTGTTAGTCTTTCGCTGTACAATATATACCCGTACTTTGTGTACTACGTGTCGCGCAACCCCGAACTTACGCACTACCTTGGTTGATTTACATGTACATCACTTGTTTCCGGTGCGTGTGCCATAATGTTAAGCCACTGCTGCCACTTGCTCCGTTTTCTTTCACCTTTATCATTATTATTATTACTACTACTATTATTATTATTATTATTAATATTATTGTTATGGTCAATTTGCATTTCCTCCACGCGAACGTACTACGCTTTCGCGTTGAACTACGTGCTTGGCACCGACACACAGAAGAAAGGGAGGGGGGGGGACCTCGTGGCCCACTACTCGTATAATACAGCGATTGACCTAAATTCATACATCAAACGAGTGGCTTGGAAAATAAGACAGAAAAACACACGACACAATGTTACTTTGTAAAAAAAAAAAAAAAAAAAAAACCGATAACCGAGCAATATTTGTAAGGTATATATCACTACGGAGACTAATTCGCGTACGGTTATCCCATCGTTCACGTTAGACGCTGGACTGCACTTCGACGTAAGAGCGAAAAGTGTTCGGTCCTGTAAAACGCCGGAAAGGAGTGCAGTAGCAGAGTGGTTTTGTACGAGGGGTAGAAGTAGGAGAAAAAAAAAAAAAAAGGCGAGAACAGGTAGAAAATGGTATTGCACGGCTACGGGTAGAAGAGAGAAGCTGATACGCGGTAAGGAGCTTTGCTTCGGGAAGTGCAGCTCTTGACGATCGCAAAGTCCGTTTTGTAGATTCTTTTTTTTTTCCTTTCTTTCTCTCTATTGATTCGAGCGCTCGTTGGTGAAGAGCGGACACTTCGTGCGGCCATTTTCTGCAACGCGAACGAGGAATGGCCTTACGTATGTACTGCATTTTATCACTTGTTGGTATTTTTATTCGTTAAGTGCGTAAAGGATAAATTGGTGTGAGAGGAGGGCACGGACAATATGTACTTACTTTTAATTTTTCCTTTTAAGAAAATTGAAGTTGCTATGTTTACAATTTGATAAAAGCTCAATGCATTTGTAAACAAAATACAATTTTATTTATTTTTATCACGGAAAATCAATGTTTTCTAAGTAATTGCATTGTAAAAGAAAAAATTAGTTTTGTAGAAAGAAGCTCCTCGGCTTTAGTGTCACTTTATTGTAAAAGGTAAGATTAAGTCAGGAGGTTTTTTTTTCTCATTTCTACCGGCTGGATAGGAGATTGGAAACGTGAATAATCTTTACCCACTCAAGCTTTTCGTTGGAATCGAGATTTAATCTTAAGAGAAAATACAAGAGTTTCCTTAGAACCTTCCATTCTTTAGTCTTCAAAAAGTTTTTTTTTCCATTTAAGGAACATCAGTATTATGGCTATTCTAAATTTTGTTTTAGTAGTGAGGAGTCAAAAATAATCGTTTAAAATTTATAGCACATATATATATACTTGGATAATTTTCATTATCTTCAAATTGGCGAATTTTTTTTTTTTTTTATTCCAATAATTTAAAATCTATTGGCTTAATGTAGGTATAATACAATAAAAATAAATATTTTGTATTAAAGCAAAGAGTACGCTTTAATACAAATATAATAAGGGTAAAAAGTTAGTTTCAAATCCTCAGAATATATAATAATTTAACATCACATTACAAAGGACTTTCAGTGCTGAATTTTATGCTATAATGGACAGATGTACTCAAAGAGAACATTTATTAAAATTTTTCGAAAGCAAAATTTTGTTTATTAATCTTATTTTTTTTATCTCCAATATTTATTTTTATACGATTACAAAATGTAAATTAATCGATTCTTTGAGAAAAATATTTGGTTATAAAGTAACTTTAGAAAATGTAAGCAAAAATAATATAGATTAAATAGCGGATGTGTTAAAACAAGGGTGCAATCATGTAATATCATAGTAATATTCATAGTAAAATAATTTGTATGATTTGTGTTTACTTTGAATTGGATAAACATGAACATTACAAATTTAAAAATTATCTAATCATAGCTACATAAGTCGTAAGAGTTTAAGTCAACTGATCTTACATTAAGCATTACGTATTTATAATTTAATAAATATATTCTATCGGTACAACATTGAAGAAAATCATAGGTAAGCAATAAAATTTATTTAAGTCACTTTCTGCAGTATTAGACTTGCAATGTGTTTATATACCTTTCACGCGTAAAGTCTCATGTTTACTTCATAAGTTTTGCAATTGGTATGTAATTTATACATATACATAGATAGCGTAAGAAATTTGGCGTAGCTCGTAAATAATTAATTGTCAAACAAATAGAACTCAAAATTAGAAATTGAAAATACTCTAAAACGAGGCAGAGATTCACACTACTATGTATATTAGGGTATGTAAATTCGAAATAAAAATTAATAAATATTTTTGCTTAAGTAAAGTGTCATAAATAATCATATCACAATTTAAATCGATTGAAAGTGATTGAGTATTTTTCATATTCAATGGAAAATTTGTATTACTCAATTGAAAAATGTTACTTTATTTTACAATAAAACGTAGCTTTTTTATATATCCAGTAAATCAAGGTGAATCTTTTTTCATTACCTCGTGTTGTTGTGTAATCATTAACAATTTAATCATATGAATAAGCACTTTTGAGCACCAAGAGACGTTTTATCACAGCCATTCTTAATCATGTTTTTTTTTTTTACTTACAATTAGTGAACTATATAGTTGATTGAAATGTTATATGATTCCAAGCAATATCAAAGTAGTCAATTTTGTCAAAGACATACTCTGTATCCGAATAAAATGCAAGGAATACAAAAAAGAAATAAAACTTTTTTTTTATTTTCGTCATCGGTACAAAGCCTTGGAAAAGAAAGCAAAAATCAAATTCGCATCCACAAGAGCACGTCAAAGCAAATCAAAGAGTCGCATAGCGTCTCGGGAGGAGAAATGGAAAAAAAAAGCAATACACCGCAGAAGAGACAGGGTTTTGCTTCGCTGCTCCTTGACCAGCACAAAGCAGCTCAGCACCGAAAAATCAGGCACTCTGAGATCTCCCCCCCCCACCCTTTTTTCCATTCCTGAAGTGATATTCAGAAATTTCTAAAGGTCCAAGGTATCCTTGCCGTCCTCGAATTAAAAAGCGCCCCGAGTTGACGATGAAAAAAGGAAACACAAGGGTCCAGAGAACGCGAGCGAGGCGATTCCTCTGGCACGTTTTTGATCCAAAACGGGATGCAGGGCACAAAGAGCAACAGGGGTACGGGTATCAAATGCTCGATGGGAGATACAAAAAAAAAAAAAAAAAAAAAAAAAAAGAGCGCGGCGGCCACCATGGAAGGTTACGCGGAAGGGGGAACCTGATGGAAGAATAGTACATCCCCCATTTCCGCAGTTGTACAATCTGCGCTGAGTACAAGGTGTACGCGTATGTATGAAATACATATTCTATTTGGCTGCAGGTGTTGGTCTCGAGCCGTCGGGCGGAGAGTAATAATAATGACAATGATATTAATAATGTACGCGCAGCCGCGCGAAAACCCATTTGCGAGTGCGCGAACTTTGGACATTGAAAGGCAAGAAGATGTGCACGCGGTCTCGCTATCGGAGCCCTCGAAGGAAGGACGGTCTTACACACTCGAGCGATGCGTTCGGAGGATCCGAATTACCGCGAGAATACGAGCTTTCGAAGGCACAGCTCTGTGTATATATATGTGTGACCATTGCGCAACTCGGTGACGAGCGCACGTGCGTTATACCGCTCGAGTGTTTGGATTTACGCACACAAGCACCAGGGCACGGTACCATATACGCATATATTGTAGTGGTGGTGGTACGAGGGGTGCGGAAAGTTATTTCTTGCACTGGCACGGCGAAGAAGATGGAAGAAGACGAAGCGGGGGGGGGGGGGAGATAGGGAAAGCACAACTCAGGAGTAATAGAAATGGGAGGAGAGGCAGAGAGAGTATAGCTTCTCCTCCACAGCCCCCGTGGCGAGCCGAAGGAGGGGGAGAGAGATAGAGGGTAGCTCGCGGGGCTCCGGTGCAGCTCGGTTCGACTCGCCACCGAGTGGTGGTGGTTGGCGAGGAAAAGGCACCGGGAAGGGTAGTGAGCCCGCGGGGCGCCACCGTCGTCCGACCCCCCTCAGTTCGACCGAAGACACCGGCCGGCGCTCACGCGTTACCGCTCGCCAACTTCTTTTTTTCGTTTTCCTCTCTTTACGCGAGTGTCGGTCAGTCCTTGTGTGTGCATCGTGTGCATATCACACACACACACACACGTAACTGGAGGAGGGAGAGGTGTGTACACGTATAACAACAACAACATCTAGTGATCTTGTGCGTTTGGGTTCATGCTGTGTGCCCGTGTGTGTGTACGTGTCGGGGTTTCCTGCAAGTGCAGGACGACCGAGTGAAAAAAGGAGCCGTGGTGCTCGTTAGTCGGTCAACCGTTTTCCACGCGAGCTTCCTGCAAAGCTCCCCCGTAATTATATATGCATGTATACGTGCCAAGTGCATTTGCGTGTGCTTTTTTAACCCTTGGGCCACAAGTCAGCGTAGCTCTGCTAGTTTGTTTACCCTAAAGAGTTCTGGTAAAACAAGGGACGGACAAGGCATCGAGGACTCCGACCAAGGACATGAGGAAGGGGGAGGGGGGTAGAGGAGTTGCGGGATAAAGAAAGCCTGTGGCCATTTTCTCCAGGGGTCGGTCGGTGGTCAGTTTCTCCGGCGAGAAAGAGAGTGAGCGTAGACCAGCGTGTCGCTCGGCGCACGTCGCCGTACTGACCATCTACTCGCTCGAGGAGCTCCTGTGTACGCACTACTAACGAGATCGCCAAGGGATCCAAAAGGGGATCCGAGGGAGTGCGTGGGTTTATTTTATTTCTTTCCCTATTTTTTCGGCTCTCAGTCGTCAATTATCAAATTCCATCCCAGGGCTGTTGTGGTAGCGGAGTAATTTACGCGTGGGATGTTTTTTGTTTGTTTGCTTGGAGACAAAAGAACAATATACTTCTACTCGTAGGGCTAAACGGTGCCGTAACAACCTGCCGTTTTTAACAATGCAGCGCGTTTCCGATAACAGCCACTGCGAAACAAAAGCACCGTCAAATTTCATTTTGTTTTCACATAGCTGTCAACCGCTTGATTGCCAAGGTTTCAATCAATTTAGTGGAACGCGAAATGCTACCTCTGTTTTTCCAATTTTAACGAACTTTATCGCGCATCCCCCGAAAAACGTGTCGTGGAGTAAAATTAGGAAAAAATAAACTTCAACGACACAGTCACGCGCACGAAAAAGCTCTTCCCGTGTACTCGAGTGCCGTAGTAATAGCCTTCGGACCAAAGTACGAGTGTACAATATTATCACACCGAACGAAAGACCCGCCAGTCGTTTGATCCCGAACTTTATTAAAACTTTCTTCCCTCCGCTTCCATCTCTCAAAGTTTCGCTGCTCCTCCGTATCGAACGTACCACCGTCCTTCTCCCGTATAGCATCCTCGCTTGCTCTTAATTTTCCCATTAACTTTGAACACTCCCAAGCTCCATTGTTTTAAATACTCGAGAGTCAACGTATACGCTTTTTTCCCCTCCCTAAACTAATTTCACAACAGCGAAAAACGTGAAATTCCATCGGACATATACGGGAGTTCTCGCGTGCGAAGCAGCCTGCACAAGGCACATCGAGTTACTCAAAAAGACACCTCGCTGTTGGGTATCCCGTTACTCCCCCCTTTCTCTCCCGGGGGGGGGAGGGGTATCGCTTCGCCAAAGGATGTCTGCCGTGCTCTTACATCAGCGTGGCGGCGGGATATCGAGTGTCACCCGGCTTTTCGTACACGACAACGACACTCGATAGGCCACTCGTTTTCTCCTTCACTTTCTTCCAAGCTGGCGATTCCAAAGGCAGATTTTTTTTTCTTTCTTTTTTTCCGTATATGTGTGCTCAACACGCACGCGAGGCTCTTGGGGACGGATGGTACCGGCTACTTCTTCCCTCGGGGGGGGGGAAACTCGATAGCCGTTTATTATTGATGGCCACGACGTCGCGTTCGCACGTAATACGAGAAATTGTCATTTAAGGGCAGGCGTATATTGTTTCGTTGGGCTGGTGATGGTTGGTATCCTCGTAGACTGTTTACACTGGAAAAGTCGTATAATCATGAGAAAAGGATCGAAGAGCAAATTATTTCGATTCAACTCCAATCGAGGAATAACACAACGCGCGCAATCTTGCAATTTGGATGGACGGGCCAGACGGACGATGTACGCCAAAACATTTTCATCCGCCGTAATGAACAGCTTGACCGGCTCGAAAAAGCTGCGCGCGAACGCGTACCAACAAGCGATGGGAGAAAAAACGCGGGGTGGGGGGAGGGGGTGAGAGCAGTGAGCAAACTCGTGGCCACGTCCGTGTTTGGTGTTGCGAGAGCTCTCGGTTTTGTGCCTCGAGTATGGAATCTATGTAGGGGGATGCTGAGCCTCGAAATGATAGTGCGAAAGGGCCAGTTTTTTTTTTTTTTTTTTTTTCAATGTGTAAATCATACGTGGCTCGGACGAGAGATGAGGTCTTTTGCGTTCACTGGTGTCTGCTGTGCGACAGAAGTTTTTTTTCTTTCGTTGCCAAAAGACCACGAGTGGGCTAGGATTTTTTTCTCGGACACGCGTGTGGGATGGTAATGAGCTGGCGGGATGGAGTGCGCTGCAGTTTTTGTGGTATGTTTACGACGCTCGTTATGTTTTTTTGGTAAAAAGAGCAGCCGAGCTTTGAGATCCTTTTTTTTTTTCTTTCGTCTCTATTGCGGGCTGTTGGAGTTTCTCGTTGATATTTATATCACTCTTATGGTCTTGGCGAAAACGTGTTGCATTACTTAATAACGTATACGAATAACTGAAAGCATAGCTGGGAGTTGATCCTCACATTCCGTCGTAGCATATTTTCGCCGATTTGTACAAAAGATAATAAATATCCCATGGATGGAAAAGTTTTCCAGCCTCTCGGGTGTTGGATAAAAATGGCTTCTTCTCCGAAGAAACGAGCCGACTTTCCATAATAAAAGTTTAAAAAAAAGAATAAACTTGACTAGTGAACATTACGTTTGCGAACCAGCAACAATGTGCGCGTAGAACATCAGAGCAGTTTGTAACTTTTTCCAGATAAATTGGGTTTCCCCTCACGACCGGCCACACACGACAAGTCCAAGAATCGTCGCGAACCTCCGCTCCTTCTGTTTCCTCCCCCTCCCTCAAAAACTTTCGTCATCCCTTACGAGATGTGCCGTGACTACCAAACGCGAAGATTCACCCACGCGCCCTTAAAACTTTTGCTCCGCTGTGTTGCGCGAGTTCATTATACACCTTACGAGGGAGCTCCTCTTTTTTTTTTCTCTCGGATGTATACACTTGATTTTCCGCTCGACCAACGAATCCTCATTTTCCACCCCCTACTGCCACGGGGCACGAATACATTACGCCCTAATTATTGGTTTTCCGAATAACCCACGTTGTACAATCGAGAATATTTCGTTCGAGTAGAATAATCTTCCATATACATACATAGACACATTCCCAAATTGATAATCAATACAGCCAGGATATATCCCTTGACCCAAGAGAAGCACAAAGCACACGCAACGTTTTCCCGCGGCTAATATTCCCCCCTCAGGCCACGAGCACCGGCCCTCGTTTCTCTCGGTCGAGAGTAGGCGTACAAATATATATATATATATATATTGACGCGACGTGCACGTCCACAGGTTTCTGCTTGCGAGTAGTCCACAGACAGTGCACGTATATATGCACCGAGGGGAGTCCAGTAGCAACAACAACAGCCGAGGCACTCGACCTCCAGAATCCACCGAGCCAAACAAACAACCGTACACCCGTGCGAGGTTGTAGCTGTGGGTGCATGTATACGTACGTGGAGTGGAAGCACAGTGGCCCATCGACGTGCACGTGTATATGAAAAACAAGATCGGCCGAGTGCAGGCACACGTATAAATACGCACTGCCGAGAGAGTAGTCTCGAGTGTCCAGAGGGACGAGGGTGAAAACAGTGAGACCCGTCTTCCCCTTCTTTGTGTCCCTCCACTCGACTCGATCCGGGAACTACGACGACGGTGTCGCGAGTGCAGTGAGCGCGGAGGCAAACACAGAGACGCCGAATCAAAAGAAAAAGTGTTACCGTGTGTACCAGTGCCATCATTATCTTGCGCAGTGCGTACACGTACAGTGTGAAATCATATAGTGAAAGGCCGGTTGTAGCCACGAGTGCGACAGTTTGTATGCGCCGACGGTGCAATAGCAGCAGGAGCAGCAGTAAAGCAGGATGATGACGGCACCGGCCGTCGGACAGTCTCATCTCCACCGCGGGCTGCCGCTCTACTACTGCTGTCTTCTACTACTATCGCTGCCGAACCTCGCTCGGAGCGATTTCGATGGGGAGCAGTCGCAGCTCACCTCAGCCGAAGAAAAGACTAGCTTCGAGGCTGCCTTTCAAGGTAAGTTGTGCGCCCCCGTGTGTTCTGGACCCCGATGGTGGATGGTTCGAGTGAGCTGAATACCGATGGCCCAATTACCGGAGGGATGATGCCCGTCACAGAAGGGATTTGCGCGCGGTGTCGGACCTTCCGAGTTTGCCTTGATTTTAGCCATAGAGGGAGGGGGAACCAACTTGAAATTGCCACTCAGTGGCTATAGGTTCAACTTTCCCGAGTGACAGCTCGCGGAGTCAACGCTTTTTACACCCCTCAATTCGTAAAAGCTCCGACTTTCTCAGCAAGATCACTCTGAGCTTTCGTCATTGCTTGTCGGGATCTACCACCTACGTTTGTTCCTTCACCACTGACAAACCTCCTGAATGCAAATTGGTCCATAGAGGCAAACCCAAGCCCCGTTTCTTCCCTCGCGAGCAAAAAAACAAAAAAAAAAAAAAAAAAAAAAAAAAAAACAAAAGCTCTTAAAGCGGCGTTTCAATTTCCTCCCCTTGTATACCAAACATGTACATACGGGCTCGAGCTCCAGCCCCACGATTCACTCACAAAAGGCCAGCATACGTTAGTTGTATGGGGTGCGTAAGGGCAGCCAGTCCCCTCGCGACTTACCGTAACGCGAGAGAGATAGACGCTAGTATTTAATTGCAAGCTCGACGCGCGAAGGGGCAAGTTTCCCCTTTCCCTGTGGGTAAACAATGTGCTCTTTATCGCTGGCACGTATGAACTTGAAAACCGAGAGGGGAACCCGCGTACGAGGTATGCAGTGGAGGAGGTCCGCGTTAGGTCAGACGGCGGCGAAAGGACGTTGTCGGAGGAAATTGCATTTGGTTTTGCGCCCAAATACCCCCCCCCCTTTTCTCTATCAATTCACGTCTCGCCACCTCTCGTTGTTATATGGAGGGAGGATCGCAAGATATTCCGAGGGAAGCTCCAAAGTCTCGGCTGGGCATGCGCCCGTGACTTACGTATATACCTCGGCGTCGCTACGGCGTGGCTGGATTCTTTGGGGCTTTCTGTATAGATAAGCGCTGTTGATCAATCGACGGCACGGGATTCTCTGGCCGTAATGAAATTCTCGGACCACTCGAATACACGTGCGAGGGGAGTGCTCGAGGGCTAACGAAATGTATTTGTAATCGTCCAAAGGTTACACGATGAAGGTTTCGAGTATCACTCGTATACGAATTGCTATATCTTGCGGGGCCAAAGGGTGAGATGATTTGTTTTTCATTTGACCACTCTTCGTTGATTCGGAGGAGGCCAACCTGCCGGATGATTGTTATTACGGCTTTGCCGACTGCGTGTTTATTTCCCGTGGCCGAAGACAATGGTAATTAAAGCATAAATTCAGCCGTGAAGCCATTTCGCGGATAATTTATTCCTCTTGTGTGAGAGTCCGTGGAAATGGAAAAAGAAAAAGGGATGGATTCATTAAAAACTTTTAATACGTACGGATATGTCCGTACCTGTGCGCGTGAATTGGGACGTGGGGGTGTATATATCGTGCTCATCAAGATATTAAATTTTATGGGTGCGCGTGAAATTACTCCGTGCTTTATATTACCGACCAAGTTGGTCTAATGGAGCTATCCCGGCAGCTCTTTACGACTTTAATCACCCTATGTTACGAATACTCGTGTCTGAAACTTTTCGTATTCGTGAATTGGTGGATTTCTCGCTGACGAGACTCACGTGGTGGCGTTCAACTTGGTACTTTTTTTTTAATTTCATTTTTTTTTCATTGTTTCACCACCTGCAAACATCTACACGATGATAATTTATATTTTTGGTGCTGCTGTGGTGACATCCTTTATTTTAGAAAAATAATTTGAGTCATTTTGACGTTTTACGTGAATAACGATATAAATTTACTCTGATAATTAACTAAAATGGTATTTTATCCGAATTCGTAGCGATTGCTCATACATAGTAAAAACTATTTAAAAAACCTGGTTTTTCAAAACCGTCCACCTAAAAGAGTTTTTATAATCACGAACCTATAGATTAAAAACTAAAAACAGTATTTTATCGAACATTGACACTGCAAGTAGTTGGTTAAAAAAAAGTAATAAAAATAAAAAAATAGAAAGACGCTATCCAAATTTTTCTTTGCTTCGAAATGACAGCAGAAATAAAGGGATCAGACCCAACCCAAGTATCGAACTAAAGTCTCGCGTGCGTATCTTTTAAGAAAAAATAAGCCCTTGTTCACGTACATTGGAACCGAGTTGCATCGATGTATGGTAAAACGCTCAGAGCTCCCAAAGGAAGCAACATCAATGTACTACACGACGCAGGTATAGCCTGCGAGTATTGTACAGTTTGCTACCTAAGCATACACGCATGATAGACCATCTACGTACGGACTATTGATCAGTCATGCATTGGCGATGGTGTAGCTTCAAAGAAAAAGTAGTGTAACAGACTCACCTCCTCCCCGTAGCACTTGTCAAAACTATAGCAAAAGTGCAAAAGGGTCTAAGCATTATACGAATAACATTCCCAGTCCAATCAAAAAGGGACAAAGAGTGCCATTTACCGGTACCCCGCAATGACACCCGCATTTACATTGCATTCGTTAGATGTATATGGTTGAAAAAAAAAAAAATACTTGCATTAAAATAGTTTGCACGAAAGCTCGATTGCTCAAAATTTCTGCCCAACTATCTTGTACCGTAACAGTGGTGGAATAGTACTAGCGGTATTATATATGCAGCGGCACGCTCGTTTTCTTGGTGAGCCAGGAGTCGTTAGGCCAAGAGGCTCTTGACAAGTGTACGTACGTGTGAGTCCAGGTGTACGCGTAGGTACATTGGAAAGGCACGATAGTTATCCATTTGGGGTTTGGGTTTTGACATCATCAGAGGAGCTCGAAACTCTCGACTAGCGTGAAAATAAACATGTGTCGCTAGGATGTGATTTTTGCTTCAAGTGAACGCTGAAGTGAAAAGATTTTTGGCACTGTGTGCCAGAGTATGAGGTAAAATAAGGATAACCAGCAAAAGATACTATAGATTCATGGAGAATTGGTCGTGATTCGTCGGCCTAATCGGAGCTCACTAGCTTCTGTGTACTCGCAGTGGAGTTAGTAAACTTTAACCAAAGATTTCATTCAATTTGCTGGATGGTCATTTAATTTAGAAAAAGATACGCGTTGGTTAGAGCTACCTTTTTTTCACTTCAAGTGTATATACAGGATGGACGTGGATTGAGTTTCCAGTACAAGTCACACCAACAGAGTAGCAGTAACAGCCAATACTTCGAGTCTCATTATAGAAAAATGAAAATCTTAAGCTTTTTGATATTTCTACTGTCGTTGTACCAACTTATTGGTAAGTATTTTTAAATGAGCAATTTAAATTACATGATAAGTCAGTATTAATTGAGAAATTTAAATCTGACTATTCTATCGGAATATTGATACGTTTGAATACGGTATGACAGTCGAAATTGATACTGTATACAACGTTATTTTGTGATTCTGTAAACCAACATTTTGGCAATAATTTTTAGTTATATTCGAGATATTATTAAATCCTAATTTACTTTTATGCCAACAAACGTTTCACAAGTACTTTTGTAGTTAAAACCTTATTTAAATTGTTAATTTTTATTAGCTAAATCTCCACTTTTTTAAAAAGAATTAAAAACACAGCAATATATTTTATCTCACAGAAATGCTACAAAATTCATGAAATTTATTAGAGAGCATTTTCGATTTGGCATAAATTTGATTGCACAGATTTTTGTCGATTCTGTCGTTTATGCAAATTTGTTATACTTTCTATGTTGAATAATAAAATGTCAAAGCTTGATTTTTTTATTATTCCGACTAATGATGTAAAATAATTATGTACTACCCAAAGAATAAAATCTTTCTTTCACAAATAGTAACGCTAGTACGCGGCCGCCTAGAGGACAATTACCAAAGTTCCCATTTTTGACATATTTTTACGCCAAGCAAAAAATAAATAAACCAGGTGAGAAATATAGTAGTTTTCCTACGAGTTTGAAAAGTCTTTGTTTGCGAACCGAGAGGTTTGCGGCCCAAGCCGAAGGCGAAGTCCGTAACGAGGTTCGTAAAGGAGACTTTTCGAACGAGTATAGGAAAACTGCTTTTTTGCCCGAGGAAGTACCAGCCTCCCAAAACCACCCGAGGGCGGAAAAATTCTTTTAAGTAAGTAATTTCTAGACAATATCACGGAACACAAATCTTAGCTCGGGAATAGGGTCAAATCTGGTCAGACGGAAATTTAACCGATGGATTTGTTTCAATGTCGGGTTATTCTATAATCTCCTTTTTTAATTATAGACACATTCAGAGTATATCATTGACAACTGGTTAAGACGTTGCCTCTATGAGATTTTAGTCTACATACAACGTACTTTAAGGCTACGCTTTGTTCTGTATAAAAGTATGAGACACTTGTCTAAAGCAGTACTCTTGAAAAACCTATTTAAACAGTTAGACTGAGGATTGACGTTTTCGTATGTACTAAGGAATAACAAAAAAATGATTGCTTTTGAAAAAGAGGAAAGTACAATATACCATTTTTCTTAAAATAATGGTTATACCAAAAGTAGATATGGCACCTGAAAGATTAACAAAGCAGCAATTGGGAACACCATATACGAATATTACAGACAACGAGTTAGACGGTATCCTTCATAAACTCTTTTATAATGCTCCTAATATCATGAGTGATATAGCGATCGAACTGGATACAACGACAGCTAAACCGTAAATTCATTTTTTTAATTAATTGTATGAATGTAGCATTCAATGAATTTCACTTTTATAAGTTTTTATACTTTGCTTCATTGCAGATTTTTCAATGTCGATCCAAAACTTTATAATATTCCAAAGATTCAGCATTATTTGGCAGTCTACAAAAATTACAAGCAACTTAAATCAAAGTTAATGAGTAACATTACTGAAGCAATGCGAAATCAGCAGAATTTGCTAATTGATGCATTCCTCGACGATACCACCACATCAGTACTAT